AAAGCAACAGCTTTCAATATTTACCATTTAATATAAAGCTACCTGCATGTTTTTGGATGGACAAATATTTTTGTAAAGGTAGATTTCTTTTTTTCTCTTAAATCATCATCGTTATTGGATTTCATCAAGTACCTTTATTTCATCTATTGAGATAATCATTATCATATGATTTTTCTTTTTTTTTCTCTTAAAACAGTGAATTATATTGACTGAGTCTGAAATGTTAGGGAAACCTTATATTTCTGGAATAAAAAAATTACAATATATTATCCTTTGTGTATATTACTGGGTTTTATTTATTAATATTTTGTTAGGAATTTTACATCTGTGTTTGTAGGAAAGATTGGACTGTGACATCTCTTTTTTTTGCACATATTTTGGTACCAAGGTTCTCTTGATCTTACAAAACACTTTGCGAAGTATTTCCACAATTTCAATTTTCTGAAATATTTTGTGTAATATTGATGTTGTTTCTTTGTTAAATGTTTGGAAGAATGCATTGAGAACTCTTCTGGGCCTCGAGTTTCCTTGCTGGAAATATTTTAGTTAAGGATTCGATTTTTTAGTAGATGTGATATTTCAAGGAATTTGTCCAATTTATGTAGGTTTCCAAATATATAGCCTACAAATGTTCTTAGAATCATCTCAATATTTTTAATGTATAAAATATGATATAACGTCCATTTTTAAATTTTGAATATTGTTAATTTTGTATTCTCATTTTATTTATTGTTCATTCTTTCAATTTTATTATAATTTTCAAAGAAATAACCTTTGGCTTGGTTTATGATTTCTGTTGTACATTTGCTGTATATCTTATTTTTTCCTTCTTCCAATTTTCATTGGGTTTACTTTGCTAATCTTGTCCTAACTTCTTTCTAAATCAAACTTTACCTATGTCCCACAAGTTTTGATCTTTTTTGTTCTCTTTTGTTCTTTTCTTGGACTGTGGCTTATTCAGAAATTTATTGTTTAATTCCAAAATACTTGCAGGTGCTTTAATTATTTTCATGTCAGCAATTTCCTATTTGGAAGGTTAGTTAACTGTTGATATGTGTTCTTTCCTCTAGCCCCAGCAACAGCTGAGGGGGATGCTTGCCAGAATCCTTTTACAATAATAAATCAAGAAATTTGTAGGAGCAAATGGATCCATAATATGCTGTGTTTTGATTGAGCACTTGTACTTTATCGTTGAGATGGTTTACTGAGTAACCTCTAATTGATGAGATTGAGTCACTCTCAACAATGGGAGTGACATACATCTCCATGAGGAGGATATGTAAACAGCACATTATAAAGCCTGAAGGAGTCCCAAAGAGGCTGCCTTCTCTGGGCTGAAGTGCTTTTATACACACTCACCCCAGTCCCTCATTACCATGTTCATCCCAAGAGTATATTGGCGACCTGGGCTGCTATGCCTCAGATTTCTGCTGTGCTCTTGACATTCATGCTGTATTGCAGCTCTTGTATTTTTTTCCTCAAGCTAAATAAATTCGGCAGTAGATAAAGCCTATTGTGTCTTGTAAACTTTTTTCTTTAAAGATTGGCACCTGAGCTAATATCTGTTGCCAATCTTCTTTTTTTCCTTATTCTTCTCCTAAAAGTCCCCCAGTACATAGCTGTATATTCTATCTGTAGGTTCTTCTGGCTCTGCTATGTGGGACGCGACCTCAGCATGGCTTGATGAGTGGTGCTAGGTCTGTGCCCAGGATCCAAACTGACCAAACCCTGGGCCGCCAAAGCAGAATGCACAAACTCAACCACTCGGCCACAGGGCCAGCCCCTGTAATTTTTAATTTACAATCAAATCTAAGACCAATGAATCCTGTCAAGCTGAATGGGAAATATGTTAAAATTTCTTGAAACTTGCTTTACAGCCCAACATTTTGTCAATTTTGTAAGTGTTCTGTGTGTGCTTGAAAAAAAATGTGTATAGGGGCTGTTCCCGTGGCCAAGTGGTTAAGTTTGCCCACTCCGCTGCAGGCGGCCCAGTGTTTCGTCAGTTCGAATCCTGGGCGCTGACATGGCACTGCTCATCAAGCCACGCTGAGGCAGCATCCCACATACCACAACTAGAAGGACCCACAAGGAAGAATATACAACTATGTACCAAGGGGCTTTGGGGAGAAAAAGGAAAAAAATAAAATCTTTAAAAAAAAAAAAAAGAAAAAAATGTGTATTGAGCAATTTGGGGATTCAGGGTTCTACTAAGTCAATCTGGCTTATTATATATATCCTTGCAGAATTTTTTGTCTGCTTGATCTGTTAGTATTTAAAGAAAGTGTTTTAAAATCTCTCATTATGATTGCAAATATATCTATTTCCTTTTTGTTTTTTTTAAGATTGGCACCTGGGCTAACAACTGTTGCCAGTCTTTTTTTTTCCTGCTTGATCTCCCCAAACCCTGCTCCACCCCCCCCCCCCCCACGCCCCGTACACAGTTGTATATCCTAGTTGCAGGTCCTTCCAGTTGTGGGATGTGGGACACTGCCTCAACATGGCCTGACGAGCCGAGCAGTGCCATGTCCGCCCAGGATCTGAACCCTGGGCCTCCGCAGCAGAGCACGCAAACCCAACCACTCGGCCACGGAGCCAGCCCCTATCTATTTCTTTTATTTGTGTTAGTTCTGTTTTTCTTTTCAATGGTGCTTGCATGGTATGTCTTTCCTCCTTTAATTTTCAACCATGTTGTTGTAGGAAGTGTATAGTTTTTGTTTTTGTTTTAATCTGATCAGATAATTATTATCTTTAATTTGTCTTTCTTTATTTCTATTGAAAAGCTAGCCACCAGTCTTGTTCTTGCTCCTTTGAAGGTGTTGCATCTTGCTTTTAAGATTTTCTCTTCATCTTTCAGCAATTTTGGTGTGATATAACTCAGTGTGGTTTAATTATAAATATTCTGCTTTGGTTTAATAGATCTTTGAGAATCTGCACTTCGAGGTCTTTCAACAATTTTGAAAAGATCTTTCCAAGTGATTTTACAATATTGCTGTCATCTCCTTCTATTTCTTCTCTCCTTGTACTTTAAGCTAAAACTTTTCATTCTGTCTCATATGACTCTCTAAGTTCTTTTCTGTATTTATCATTTTTTCCCCCTCTGTCAATTTGGATATGTTTTTACTTAGCCAGCTTCCAGTTCACTGATTCTCTCTTTTGTTGTTCCTAATTTTCTGTGTAGGTCATTAAAATTATAAATTTCAGTCATTACTGATTTCAGTTCTAATTTAATTTCATGATTTTTGATGTAGATTTCAGCACTCTGGAAAAATGATCTGTATTGTGTTCTATTTTCTTCAACACTTTTGTACAGTTATTTTAGTGTTCATGACTGATAACTCCAACATATGGACAGCCTGTCTGCTTCTGTTGTCTAAATTATGGGTTGTTTGTTTTTATCATTTATTCCTGTCTTCAGGCATGCCTGTAATTTCATTTTAAATTCTGGACTGAGTGTATGAAACATTGTAGAGTCTTTAGGTATTGTATATTTTTTTTTCCCCAGAGAAGATATAATTTTCTTCCAGAGGATCACCTATATCAATCCATAACAAGATGATTCCAGTCTGAGGGAGGCCTGATCCACTTCCAGTGCTTTTATTTTAGGAAATAACCTTTTAGGAATCTTAACTAGAACCCAGGAAAGTTTGCCAGGGTTGCTTCTCCTTGATGGGCTCTAAATTTCTAAATTTCTTCTTCCTGAAACTGTGAAACTATCAAAACTTTTGCTTATATTTTTTAACTCATTACATGCTGTTTCCTTGACTTTGAGAAGAAAAGCCTTGGGGAATATCAGGCTATCCACAGTGCATCTCTGATCTCTCTGGCATCTTGTCCCCTCAAGTCCTGGCTCCTTGGACATGCTTTCAGAGAGCTATATTTTAAAAAGTATTATCCATAACTGGACAATGATAATGATGATATGTGGCTTAATGATTGGATAATCCATAGTTATGATTCTACAAATGGCAGATGCATGGCTTAATGATCGAATAATTCATGCCTATATTCCAGTTATCATAGCCAGATCCAGAAGTTTCAAAGGAATGATTCCTAATTGTGCAGTTTACTTTAAGAATTTTAATACTTTTCACTTTTTTACATGACTGTACTGAACTTATGTGGAAAAAAGAGAGGAAGAAAGAAGGAAATCCATAAGAGATCTAATATTTGAAGGACACCAATTATATAGCAAGTATTTAAAACAGATAAAAGTACTTAACCCCAAGAACTAATCCACATAGCATGAAAAGACATGGGATTCGAGGAATTATAGATTTCCTTTCTATAAAACTATTATGTTGAGTATGCTGAGTGATCTTTCCAGAAAAGCTAAATTTTATTTCAAAGAAAAAATATTATTGAATTATAGAGGAGAAAGTAGACCTCTAGAGGGCATTTAATTCTTATTTTACTGATGAGTAAACGCACACTCAGGGCAGAGAGCACCTGGACAGGTAAATTCAGAGCTCTGGCTAGAAGCCATGCCTATGGACTCTTTGTCCCGTTGTCTTCTCATTGTTACCCTGTCCTTCCTGATAACCACAATGATCAGGAGATAAAGATACTCAATGATAAACACATTTTACCATTTCAATGATAATGAAAAAGGAAACAGAGATTCCTAGCATTAGGGTCTTGATAATTATTTCTTACATGGCATGAGGTTTTAGCCTTTTCTCATTTGGTTCACAGGTTCAGTATGCCCATTGTGTATTTTAGTGATCCAAATGAGGCCTTCAGGAACTATTATCCATTAGAAAAACTGATGAGAATGTGAAATAAATAGACCCAAACTGTGGCTGCATACCAGTATTACAAGCGAGCATGTCTGTCTCAGCAATCAAACAGAAAGCAGCCCACTGCATAAAGCAGAGCACTCAGCTGAGTGCTAATCGAGGCCTATTTCCTGGCAGGCTCCCACAGACCATCTGTCAATGGTCACTGTCACATGCAAACACGTGTGTTTATCTGATTGCTGAGACAGCGCTCAGACTTGGCGTGCTGCCTCTTACAGATCTCCGAAGAGTTAGCCTCACAGAAACCTCTGGGTGAGTTTTCAATTGCAGATTTCATTTTCTTTGCCGGCTCTGACATTTCTAAATATCTCTTACCAACTTGTGGCTGAATACTAACCATCATGACACACCCCAGAGATGCCTAGCTAAGGAATGAATCATGTACTGTCTCTATTTAGATTTTACAAAGTCCTCAGGGGTAGCTCTAGATACACAAGGGAATGAATGTCATTATAACAACTAGCTCAGTTTATTATTAAGACTTGATATCCAAACTCATAAATGCAGTTTCCTAATGAGTATTGGGTTACAAAGCAATAAAGAATGTGCTCCTTTAGAAACAGAGGCCTTAATACTGCAATTATGCATCTGAAGTAGCTACCTCTCCACTTTAGGACTAAATTATTATAGAAATTTAAGGAACATGATTTTGTTTTTAGTCATTAATTCAATGAAAAAACATTTATTTAGCATGTGCTGTATCAGAGGCCCTATACCAAGTTCTGGGCTACAACGTTCAACAAAACAGATGTAGTTTCATCCATAGTAATTCAGAGTTTAGTGAAGTGGTATAAATACCACTGGATTGGCCATCCTGAGGCCTGGATCCTAGTTCTGGATTTGCTCTAGTGAGCAATATGCCAGGAATCATTTCTTTTATATTCATTAGGAGGCAGTACCCTACAAGTAGGAGTAAGAGAAGTTTTCACTAGAAAAAACTGATGAGAATTGGGTCTTATTTTGAATCCCAGGTCTCCTTCTCACCCTAGTTTCATCATCAAGAAAGTGAGAATGATAATAATAATAGTATCTATTTGGTAGAGTTATTGTTGGGATTAGATGGAGTTTTATATATGAAGCACCTAGACCAGTGCTTGGCATACAGTAAGTGTTTGGTAAATTACAGCTATTATTGTTTTGTAACTAAAGCAGTTGTCACATCTCCATCAATTTAATTCAGCAAACATTTATTGAGACCTGACCACATTGCTGGTATATATAAAATAAGACACACTTCTTTCTCTCCTTGGAATGCTCACTATCTGGGGTGAGACGCAGAACTCTTAGACCCCAAAATAATTCATTATATTATGCTAAAAAGAAACAGAGATATATGCATTGCTATGTATGTGCAAAGATATGTGAGAAACCAAGTTTACCTGATAGACAGTGATAAATATATTCTGAAGGATGTAAATTTGAACTGGTTTTCCTAGATGGGTGAATCACTATAATTCTAACAGATGCAATGATCCATGAGAAAATAATTCTAAGATAAATTCCAATTCACTCTCCATATACATTTTTTCTCTCTCATATACACACATCTACACATGTACGTACACACACACAATCATACTACGAATATTGGATAGTATACAGAATTTACATCTCAACTCCATCTCATTTTTTCCATGCCAGGCAGTGTAGATTAAATGGGAACACATGGCTGTAATCAAAGTTGGGTTTGATTTCTGGTTCTTATAATATAGCCTCCTATCCCGCTATTGCTAGTTAATCTAGAGAATCTGCTGTATGCTTACTTGCTCACTAGGTATAAGTAATAGGTGCAAAATACTTCTACAAATTCCTGGGCATTTACAAAATTGGATGGAATGAAAGGAATTTTCCAGGAATATTGTTCAGCAGATCCAAATATCAGACTTGTCTCAAGTATGTCCTGTACCTTTGGAAAAATATGGAACTCATATAAGTTTCCGTTCCCAAGGTGTAAAATGGCTATAAAATTTAATAAGATATTTATTGCTACATTGTTTGGAGGATTTGAGACTTATTCAGCAATATTCAGTAAACATTCACTGACTGTCTACAAGCACTAGTCTAGATATTGGAATGGGAGCAATGAAGAAGACCGTCAAAATCCTTGCCTTTTGTAAGCTGACGTTTCAAAGATAATGTATGTAAAGTGAAGTCACAAACTGGTCTGCCTGAAATAATATTAGCTTCTATCACCTTCAGCATTATTATCACCATTATTTGAAGATAACTTCCTATGTTCTCTGTAACAAGATTTCACCATTGTAAAAATGTTGGGTAATGGATAGTTGAAAATACAGTGTGTTTCATGTGCAAAATACAGAGGGAAAGGACAAAAACGATATAGAAGAGAAGGAAACTATGAAGAAAGGATAAAAGCAAGACAAAGTTAATTCAATTAATTAAATTGCAGTTGGCATCATATGTTTTCCTTCTAGTAAATAAAAGATTTCAGGAAAGATTTTTCACAAATTATTTTCTTTGTGACAGGTTTTTTTTTTCTTCTTGAAACAAAACTAGAGAACGTAAGAACGTGATTATATGGAACTATAAAACTAGTCCTAAAATGATTGATGGGTCCAAAGATAGTAGAAGTGAGAAAATAACAAACAACGATTACAGCAGAAATAAATGAAATAGAGACTAAAAAGATGATTGAAAAGATCAATGAAGCTAAAAGCTAGTTCTCTGAAAAAATAGAAAAAATTGACAAACCTTGGGCTAGACTCACCAAGAGAAAAAGAGGACTCAAGTAAGTAAAATCAGAAATGCAAGAGAAGGTATTATAACCGATTACAAAGAAATACAAAGGATCATAAGAGATTACTATGAACAATTTTACACTAACAAATTGGACAAGCTAAAAAAAATAGATACATTACTAGCAACATACAACCTATTAAGACTGAATCATGATAAAATAGAAAATCTGAGCAGACCAATTACTAATAAGCAGATGGAATCAGTAATCACAAACTTCCCAGCAAACAAAAGTCCAAAACCAGGCAGTGTCACTGGTGAATTCTACCAAACATCCATAGAAGAATTAATATTAATCTTTTTCAAACTCTTCCAAAAAATAGAGGAGGAGGGAACTCTTCTAAACTCACTTACAAGGACAGCATTACCCTGACACCCAAACCAGACAAAGACTCCAGAAGAAAAGAAAATGACAGACCAATGTCTCTGATCAAAATAGACTAAAAAATTCTCAACAAAATATCAAACTGAATTCAACAATACATTAAAAGGATAATACAGTATGATCAAGTGGGATTTATTCATGGAATGAAAGGATGGTTCGACATTCACAAATCAGTCAATCTGATACACCACATTAACAAAACAAAGGATAAAAATCATATGATCATCTCAATAGAAGCAAAAAACCCACCTCATTTAACGAAATGCAGCATCAATTTGTGTGTGTGACCTCTCTTATACATGGATCAGTGGTTGCCAGAGGTGGGGGGTGAGAGTTGGGAGAAATGGGTGAACTATTTTTGTGGTTTTTTTAGTTTAAATAAATCGAATTAAAAAAATCAGTAGACCCTGGAAAGGCATTCAAAAACATAAAATATCAATCCTTATAAATTTTTTTAAAGTTAAAAATAACAAGATACTTTCTAGACATGATATATTGGAGACATTTCTAAACTTAGAAGCTTTGGAGGAAATCGTAGAGGAAATTTTACATAGATTAAACAACTTCCAGTTTTCAAAAAAGATGTCTCAAATTAAAGGGGAAAAAAAAACCCTGAGAAAATACATTCAAAGTAAATACAATAAACAAGGATTGATATTCAAATTAACAAAATAAGATTGTTGGAAAACAGTAACAGTGAAAGGAACAACGATAAGAAAAAACAAAGCAGTTTGGATGATCATCCATCCTAGTTACATATAAATTAAAGAATTGAATATGACTTAATTAAACCATATAAAACTGGAAGAAAAATATGCATTTTTTTAAATCTCTATACTCTAGAGTCCAGAGAAAAAAGACTAATAAGCATATAAAATAGATAGAATTTAAAAAAAGATTCATAGATTTGATTTCAAAGAATCGGATTTGATTCTATAAAGGTCAAGATTGTCTACATGCCAAGAATAAAAATATAAAGAACAAAATCAGAAGAAAGTGTTTGTAGCACATGTAGCTGAGAAATCTTTAATATAGAAAATATCTATTAATATCTTTAATATAGAAAAATTAAGAAAGAGCAATAAGAAAATGATGGTGTATAATTTACAAATGAAGAAAAATAATAGAAATGCAATATATGAAAAATGCTCAAACATCATAACATTCTCATAAACCTGAACTGCGTTACCCAAATTCAACACATGCACTCCTGCCAGATTTGCAAAGTTTAAGAAATGATGGCAAAGACATAAGAACAGTTAGATAGTTGATGTATCAAAAACTTAAGCTGTTCTTATCTTTTTACTAGGAATTCCATTTCTGGGGCCCAAGCTTACAAAAATAAATTCAATAAAGAAAAACGTTTTTCCTAAATATGTTCATTTAAACCTTATTTTTTAAAGGAAAACCTCAGAGACCACACATTTCAAAGTCTATTCACAGAATAGGATATTATAATATTGTTCATTAAAACTCATGATAAATGTGTATATGCTATAAGGAAAGAAAAAGTGAAAATGGAAATCATGTGTGAACTATCATACACACTAAAAGAAAAATCAGCCCGCATAAAAACAAAATAGCACTGAGGGAAGACACTCCAAAGTGTAAATAGGATTAAAGTCTTTGGTTTGATTGAACTGTGGGTGATTTTTTTTCAAAATTTCTCTATTTTCAAATTTCCAATGATTGAGCATAAAATTCTGTAGTCAAAATAAACCTTTAAAAAATTAGTAAATATAGCAATCAAGAAGTTATCCTCTACAAACGTAATAGATATCAATGTGCTATGAATGTGGTATGTGTGTGTTTTCAAGGAAATAATCATGAAGCATTCATTATGTGCCAGAATCTATTCTAAACCCTGGAGATTCTGTTTACCTGGAAAGTATGATGAATCCAAGGGTCCTCACGCTAATTATGCCAGTGCATGCTGGGTTCATTTAATATTTTTGTTAACTCTGCATTAGTTTTCATGTTTGTGGATTTCTCTGTTTCTCCTCAGAGTGTCTGGGACAGTGTCTGTTTAGCAGATTTGCCCTGCAACTAAAAGTCTGAGTGAAAAAGCAATTTCCAGTCAACCTGTTTAACCCTACCTGGGTGTCTATAC